TATGAAGCTAAGTTCTTAGGTACATTTTGAAATTTGTGAGGAAACCATATCCACCTCTAAATTGACTGCTCTTAAAAAACATTTCACACACACAAAAAAATCTCTGTTCAGTTGACATGTACCCCGTAGAAGGAGGCTTCAGCACACCTTAAATTTGACTCAAAGTGAATTCTCATCCTCTGATCCTTCTCTGAGAACTTTCCAAAATGTCGCATATTCCTCTTTTAAAAACATAAACATAGGGAACAAAAGAACAAAAGAGAAAAAATGAAGTTTGTTTAAATCATTTAGCTCAAAAGTTAATTATAAAGTAACACCCCTATCCAAGACCTCAGCCCAATGTTGTGCAAATCTAGACTAACTTTCTCTGCTGTGGGTGTGTACAAAGAACTGGATGAAGCATATATGAAGACTTTATAAGTCTGTTTGCAGTGGTCAATAATCTAGAGGCAGTAGAAAAATAGGTTTTCTGATAAGGCATCAGTTTTGCAATGAACACAATGAAATATGTCACTTTCAAGTTGAGTCCATTTTTGAAATCCCAGGCAAAGCCATCACAGCCCCTGTCATGGATACTGGATAATTGGGATTCGTTGCACAACCTATATTCTCTAAGAAATGATTGACATCCCTGAGGTTTGTGCTGTGTGAAAGTGGCCACATTGTCAAAACCTGGGCAAACACAATCTTCTCAAAAGGTTAATTGAAATTCAGTTGAATACAAAGGTATAGAGGGTTTTTTTTTTCATATATTTTAATACATAGCTTTAAAAGTTATGATTAGAATGAAGTATTTTATCTAGACTTACACAGTCTGACATGCTAGCTATAAGCCATGTGCGGCTATATAGCACTTGAAGTGTGTGGCTAATCCAAAATGAGGTTTGTTGTAAATATAAAATACGCACCAGACTTTTAAGGCTTGATTTTAAAAAAGAATGCCAAATATGGTGAAATCTCAATAAAACCTTTTATGTTGATTATATTTAAAGAAATTATATTTTGGATATGTAGAGTTAACTAAAATATAACAGCAAAACTACTTTGACTTTTAAAAACTTTTTGAATATGACTAGTAGAAAATATAAATGACATATATGACTCATATTACATTTATATGAACAGCTTTGTTTTTAAAGAAAGATCAAATGTACCTTCTCAAAACAGTTTAACTGATGCTATTGATTACTCATTTGAGCATGTATAACAGGTGAGATCAAGATAAGAATGTCACTCAATACCTGTTTATTCATTTTAGAATCATACTGATTGCTCTAAGATATGAAATCATAATTTCAAATTTTAATTTCTGTCTCAAAGGACCTTGTTACGACATAGTGCCCCACAGAGCCTTGGAATATCTAGAAGTTGTACTAAAAAATCATTTAATTGAATCCTACCTTTAGAGAACTCAACGAAGTCCTAGAGTTTAATCTCCTTGATATTACTTGAGAGAAAAGTAAGAACTAGAACCCAGATCACTGAATCTCAAGCCACAATATTTTGTACCATCACTACTTAAATTTAACTGTTTCAAAATGAGAATAACATTACTGTGTTTTTTCACAATGAATAGTCTTATTTTTACAAAAGGTAGATATGTTTTTCAATCCAAAAGCTATGTTTTTAAAAATTGCCATAATTGAGACCACACTTTTTTTTTCAAACAAAGATATTTGACTAAAGTAATTCAATGATATCCTTTCATTGATGTTCTTCCCCAGTAAATATAGTCTGGTCTAAAAGGATTTTAAGATATTAAGCAGTCAATGCACAAAACTTATAAAATCATTAGAAGCAAAATGTGTCTGAACAGAAGTAGAGATGGGAAGGAGAATCAGCTTGTCTAAAGGAAGAGCCTTAAAGCCCTGGAGCAAAGTCAGATGCCAGGCAGTCCTCCTGCCTGACAAAAATAAAATCAGATAAGGGCAACGATTTCCCCAAAGGGATAAACTTGGGTGAACAAAAGAACACTGACGAATTTACGGGAAATATTTTTTTAGATCTCATTAATTTTATACATATGGCACAAAGGAAGAGCAAAGGAAAACTGTCACTTCTCTCCTAGGTAGGGACAGAAAACCACCCCCTGCCCCAGTTCTCCTCCATGCTGACCTGGGTTCCTTGGGGAGCACTTAACCTCTTCATGGCCTCAAGAAGGCACCCCTCCAGTCACTCATTTGTAAAGCAAAGAGTCCCATCAAGGCTTTCATTGATTCTCCATAACTAACTATATTTTAAAAATATAGCTGTGTGTGGTGGCCACACCTCAGCTAATAGAGTGCCTGAGGCAGGAATTATAAGTTCAAGGCCCATCTCAGGCCCTAAGGTGACCCTGTCTCAAAACAAAAAATTAAAAGTACTGGAAAGGTAATTCAGTGGTAGAATACCCCTGGATTCAATCCCCAATAGTGGGAAAAAATTTAAAAATAATAATAATTAATATTCCATTCTGTAGAGGTTGAGGGGGAAAGGAAACAAAATGTATCTTTTAAGATCATTTAAAAATAGTCTCATTATCAGAGGAAAACAGTCATTCTAAAATACTATTTTAACTAAATTGGCCAATTGTTTTTGGTCAAGGAAATATAATAAACTTTAGGGTGCCAAATGCCTGCCACAGTGCCTGCCCACCCAAGATACCCAATAAATGTTCAAATTATCTGCATCACTCAGAGAGATGCCAGTGTGAATATAAGGGTAGAGATGATTAAGGACTGGGGAGTATCAAGCATCAATATCCTGTTTCTTTTTTCTTAATTTTTTGTATAGTTGTAGATGGACAGAATGCCTTTATTTTATTTAGTTATTTTTATGTGGTGCTGAGGATCAAACCCAGTGCCTCCTACATGCTAGGCAAGCACTCTGCCACTGAGCTACAGCCCCAGCCCAAAATCCTATTTTTTTTTAACATCCTGATTTTATTTTACTTAACATTTCAATTATAATGCATTTTCTTGTATTTTACCTGAAATATATAAATACATAATATTCAAAGTATAAAGTATAATGAAAATCCTTTTCATCTTTCCTTTTTCCTTTTTTTAATCTTACCATTTCTCTTCTTTTAGTTTTGGCTTTTCTCAAACAAGTTTTGTGTCACTCCAGACTTTCTCTAATTCTATTCTCTTCACTGGGAAAACACATTTACTGAGTTTGAGAATACTTGGCGCTCTCTTAGAGCAAGATGAAGTGGCATTAATGTCAAGACAGTTTCCTAACCACCAAAGGAAGACCCAAGATGGTCACTATGGGATCAGCAGCACCTTAGCTTTTAAATGCTATATCATCATTTTAGAGTGCAAATCAAATTTTACCTTGCTCTGGGGAACTGCTTCCCACTAATCCAACCATTAACAATCTGATGTTCAAACCATCAAGTATTTGTGCATTATCAAACAATATCCAAAGAAAAAAAGATGTCCTGAGAAGACATGAACATTCACATCAGTTCATCAATTCCAATGTTCTTTTCCCATAACACAATATGCATAGGAAGTTACATTTACTCAGTAAGTTGCTAAATAAAGGTAGATGGTCTTACTGATGAGTGTCATTGAGCTAAGAAGGTGAGATATACTTATCCACACTGTAGAATGTAGAATTTGCCTACCTACTTGCAGGAATAAGGAAAACTTTATTTTCCCCTAGGGATTATTGGCAATATTCTGACAAATATTAGTTTTTAACACTTCTTTTTAATTTTTCTAAGCAAGCCATCTTTCTTCTTTTAGTATTGCCTTTTTTACAACTGTGTGTCATTAAATTAATCAAATTCAGTATACTGCCTTGTATTGTATTCCCATTCTGCTTTTCTAAGAAGTCTCCTTGATGGGTTTTTAGCTGTTATCAAGAGTTTATAGTCCTTCTTTTACAATTGTCTATTGGTTTACCCAGAGAGAGTGCCAATCAAACCTGTTATGTGGATATTTTTACCAGATTAACTCAATCAAAGTGCTGCTATTTCCAAGTTTTTTGTTTATATCTCACTCTTGTACCCTGCATTTACTGTGTAGGCACCCTTGTACATTCTCTTTAGCAATGGAACTACCAAGCCTTATTCTAAATAATTTAGGACATGTCTAAACACATTTTTCATGAGTGATGTTGACCCACATGACTCAGGCACTTCAGAGAACATAGTATCATCATATAAAAATTCCAGATCTAGACAACTAGATAACTTTCCTTTTGAAAGCAAATGGTTCTCTATTTTAATTCCTCCCCAGTCTTCCAAAGCAAATAGATTTCTTCCACTATTTTTCTAAGCTAAGTAAACATCATTAAGTGGGCCTTTGGCATAGCTTAGGTTCATTAAGTGATGTTTCTATCTGAAATTAAAATATAAAAACAATCCTTGTGTCCTATTTGCTTCCACTCTAATGGGGAGTCTAGGCATTGGCTTAAAATTTTAGTGTGGATGCAGGATTGTGTATTCCACTTTGAGCTGCAAGAATCTCTACAGTCAGATGCCTATGTAATTTCTATGAAAAAGTCACAACAATTTTTTGTATAACAGTCACTACACAATACTTATATATAATTAATTCTTACATTAGCTACAGCTCTTTAAGTATAGAGATCATAATTTTTGTTACATTTCTTGGATCCATTGGGATCTCTATTATGTCAAACCAGATGATGTCCTTTTCCCCACCATATTGTACATTTTCCAACCACCAGTATACTTGTATTACAATTATAATACAAAATTGTCTTACAGCTTTCAAAGACAAATGAAGATAAAAACACCTCTTCCTCATACTACTGAATTCTCAATTTCTGGAATATCTTTGCATTTTGTCCATAAAGGCCAGATTTCTGGCCTTGACACCTCCCATCTTTCATTGAGTCATAAACCAATAACATCACAATGTGTAAAGGGCAGGCATGTGTGGAGGTGGGGCAGTGGAAACCAGGAATAGGACGTGGACTGCCAATCCCTTTGAATCTTGTAAAAGTCCAAAGGAGTTGTAGTTGTTAAAAACAGGAGAGAAAAATTTTAACATTCATGAGTTTACATCAGTGAATTTTGAAACATGTTATTACTAATATACTTGAGACCTGATTGAAAACCTCAAAAGTTTTCTTCTTACTAACACAGAAAAAGAAACAAGAAAAATTAGGAGCATACTGCCACCATCACAAATGTGACTCTTTATGTCCACATTTTCCTATGTTTGCAATATCTGGACAACAAATCTCGTGATTCCTTACCATTGTTTTGAATAATTGATCATGAAATTTTTTTGGGGGGGTAACTATGCTTCTGTGAAAGCAACATCAAAACCAAGGTGTTTCTCTTCCATTCCAACCATCTGAATCCATTTCCTATCTCTGTCCTGCACATTTTCTTCCTTTTCTCACATTTCTGCATATTCCCTCAAGTCCAGAATTTCTGAAAGAGGTTGATAAAGATTACCTACATACAGTCTAAATAAACAACCCCACCATGATGAAGGACAGATTTGGGCTACAAGGAGGGATCAGTCTGCTTGCTGCTGTCCCAGTCCCGCCCGATGTCATAGAATATCCTCTGATCACAGCTTCTCTCTTTGGAACTTTTTATACCCTCCTGGCTTACTGCCGCTGGTGATGCTCTCTGATTTAGTTCTCAGCTTGGCAGTGTGCCCTAGTGTAAGCACGTGGTCTCTTTGCTGCACAGTTCTCCACAGCATGCACCATGAGTTACAGCCGTATGGCCAGCCAGCTAGCACCAGCTTTAAAGACCCCCACGACATACCCTGGCGATCCACAAACACCATCTAGGAAAAGAGAAGGCAAAATTAGGAGAAATTCTAGAATGTGGAAAAGGACGTAAGTGAGCAGCATTACCAAAACGATAACGATTTTGGGCAACAGCCTGCAACACAAGTGAAAGAAAGGAGGTAACTAACTAATTTATTAAAATGTGCCCTTTCGCATACTCACACTGCATACATACGTGCTTTGGCTTTCTTTGTTCTCGGATCCAACAACAGCTATGGAATACTTTGGTGACAGTTCTTACTTCATAAATTTGGTTCCCTGGTCCAATTTTTCCTTGCAAGGAAAAAAAGAAGAAAAAGAAAACTTAAAGATCTCTCCTCAAATGAGATTCTCTTTCCCCCTGGGTTTTCATTGATTTATAATTGCATCGATATTTCACATTTCTATTAAAAACACCGTGTTCTAATGCTCAGTCTGGCAGAGGCTTCCCTTTGCATTTGACAGAACATTCACCAAATCATCTTATTATGGACAGAGCTCGGGTTTTGGGAAAATCAATACGTGTTCAGCTCTCAGGAAGGCAGAGGAGCTTCAGAATGTGAACAGGGGCCACCAGCAATTGCTGGGATGGGAATGTTGCTAAAGAATGAAATGAGGCCACGGGGCTGTGGATTGTGGAATTTCAGTGGTTATGTAACCACATTTTTAGGTTAATTATTCACTCTCTTCTGCCCCCGTTTCCTTTAGGGTAGCTGCTCCTGGGACAGCAACATTGTCATTTCCTGTGAATTGCTGCTTCACTGACCACTGTTTTTGTCTGAAAGGGAAGGGGCCTTTCAGAGAAACCCTATTTTGTTTAAGTTGCTAAATAATAAATCCTTGGCCTCTGTGCTTCACATTGCTTTGCTGTCAATCGTGGACAGTGTTCAGTTATACATCAGGGTGAAGATGGGGTTTCTCTTTTAGACATGTGCCCTGGAAAAAGCCTACCTCCCTGCTACTTACAGTGGGGGTTCCATTGTAACAGTTCTGCCTTTTCCCTCATCTCTGCCCCCAAATCAAAACATGTACTCAAAAGGCAATGAAAGGTCTCAAGCTGCTAAGGAAGCTAAACAAATCTGCTAACAATAGTCATAGCCTTACTGAGGTGGGATGTACAAGAAATTAGGTCTATATTCCTCAGAAGGCATTCTGGAAAACCTCCCCATCACACCAAAGCCCACCTCTAAAATATGACCAGTCATGGCGCCAGGCAGAGGGTTGGGGGTTCATGCCTGGTGACTAGGGCTGATGGCTCATATGTAAAAGTACAGCATTCTCCCTGCTCATGTCCCAAAGCTACTGGGAGTGAGATCAGCAACTAACTGCTTCAGAGTGGTTGGGCTATTGTCTAACTAGTTTCTATTCATCATAAAAGCAAAGACCTGAGCCTTACTTGAAAAATGTTTTGAGACTAAGGCTTCCAAGCAGCAAACCTTACCATCAAGGAGAAAGAACAACCTCCTATGGGAAACGGCTAAACTTAAAATAAAATTGACCAAGCAGAGAGTTATAAATAATATTATTTTAACAGGGTTTTGAGGTGCAGCCAAATATTTTGGAATGTTCTCAGTCTGAACAAAACTAGCATATTTTTCATGTTTTCCAACCTCATGACTGAAACAAGAGATAAAGGGACAAGAAAAAAAAAAAAAAAAACACCACATTTTAAAAATGTAAATTGAAGAGAAAAATCAATCTGGGCAGTCATAAAATCCAGGTGGCAGGCAAAAATTGAACTCATTTATGAAAAAATGCAGAGTTTCCTCTAACAGGCCATAATCAAGGTAGAATGAAAAGAGAAAAAAAAAAAAATGGAGGCAGAAAAAGTTCAAATCCCAAGTTTACCATTCATAAAATGTTTGCATATGGGCAAATTCCTTAGCAAACATGAACTTCATGTTACTCATCTGGATAATGGAAAGTATAGCACCAATTTTGTAGAGCTGTGAGGATTTAGAGATTGGCTATGAAAGCATCTAGCACAGCACTTGGTGCATACGGGGACGTGAAATTTATGCTGTCTAATACTGTTTCCCACATCCCTCCCACCCCCAAGACCCCAGAAGAACAGAAGATTTGACCTCAATTAAATTCTTTTAAATAGTTTGGTTGTTGTTTGTTACTGAAAATGATCATTTGGCTTTTAAAAATAAAATTAAATTAGAAATCTTGTCTTTTGCTGATTCTGCAACTGTGGAAGAATTAGCTATGAGAAGAGGCCTCACTTCTTTAAACTTCAGGTTCTTGTCTTTAAAGTAAAGGGGCTGGAATCATCTATTAAAAAACAAACAAACAAACAAAAAAAAAAAAAAAAAAACTTCCAGTTTGGCTATCCCAGGAATGGATCAGGAATGGATGGGATCTATGCCTATTCAAATCATGGTTTTCCTGTTTTGTTTTCAGATGGCCTTCTCCTGATAGGCTATTTAAAATTGAGTTTTGGTATAACTAATACTAGTGTTTTTCTTTGTATGTGGAGATCTTCGTGAAGGCAAAGAAGAGTCTTGTTCTCAGAAGATGTTCAATACATGTTTGCAGAATGAATACCTTATACTAATTAATACAAAACAGAATGACACTTTTAGTATAAAACTTTGGTCCAATCCCAGTGCATTGCTCCCCCTTATTCAGAGCTACCCCAATCTTTGTGGAAACATGGGATGCACCATCCATAATACTGTCAATGCAGCAAGCAGCAGGTATTTAAAGAACTTTTGCATCCAATGCAGTTTTTTTTTTCATTTTATTTTAATTATTTTTTTATAATGTTGGTGAGTGGCTTATGAGTTCTTTATTGTTACTAAAAAGTTCAGAAAGTTCCCAAAATAATGCAATCATCTGTCTTTCAAAGTTAAGCATTTATAAAATAAATAACAAAATAATTGTAAGCTATCCTTTTCCAAACATTCCTAAGAGGAGAGAGAGGGGAAAAAAAAACAAAACCAACTAAACATATAGACTCTGACTTAAATGCCTATATTATGTCCACAAGTTGTAGTGTAGCCTTTATCTAGGGTATAAATAATCCAAAGAACAAAAGAGAAACTCCTTCTTCATCAACAGGACTTTCTGACCCTAGAGGTTTTTTGTCAAGCATATACCAGTCCTATAGGGCATGAAAATGTGTGGGTTTATCTGTTAATCAAATTAGTTTATTTGTAAATTGGAAATATTGAGTCAGTGGAAACAAAACCTTAAAATCATGAATTTCTGTGGAGGAGAATTCTTCTGCTCTCAACATTTAATCTTTTGAGGGGTTGAGGAGAAGGACATATTTCCTCTGCCTCCATTGGCCTTTGGACCACTGATTGGTCAAGATTAGAATTCAAATTGTCTGTAAGGAGAATGAGGCATTGACTGGAGTCTCCACCCGTCTGGCTGCAAGGTCTCCTCCTAAACGTGTCCTCACTGCTGGTGCTGCTGCTGCTTCTGCTGCTGGAACTTGTTATCCTCAGATTCAGATGTCTTTGGAATTCGTGACAGTGGCTGGCATTTGGCTTTGCTTCTGGGGTAAATCTGTTCTAACTCTTCATATGTCACCTTATAATTTTCCACTTTCATGGATGTAGTTTAAATTTCCACAGTAGTCAGTTCTTCTACTGAGAGAATGCAGTAAGTCAAGAGAGAAGTGTTTGCCAACTCAGAAAAAATTTAGACAATTAATCATGAGATGTTTCACTAATGGGATGTCAGATGTTGGTTTGGCTTTCAAGTTTACGTGAGTATAACCAACGACTCTACTACATCAGTCAAGTTACTGGTTTTAAAGAATTCCTCTACCTTTTGAATATGTTCCAAATATTATTCCTTGTATTTAGTTATCCATTTTCTTTTCTACTGGTATTTGGTGATTAGGCAGATTGTTACATATAAACCTTAAAGTTTTCACCGAAACTTCTCTTTGATATAAAGATATGTAAATTTAGAAAGAATGTAACAAAAAAAAAAGTTTTAGTGTTTAGAGCCATGTGTTTCCAAGTATATAAGAATATTCTTGGAAAACAGAGGAACATTACATTTGAATCTCCTAGGCCACTGATAAAATGAATAAGCAAAGACTTTTTCAGAATCATATACATTCAATTATACCAGTCAAAATTCAATAGCAAGGCAATCAGTACTTTAAATTTTACTCAGGACTTTGTTATAAACAATTATACATCATGTTAGTGCACAGTGGCCTTTGAGGCCCTTCACAACCTGCTGGATGATTGACACCCTTTGACACTGGAAGTTCCCATTACTCCCTTACCTATATTTGTGCTCCTCATGGTCTGAGCCCTGCAGCTGCATTCCCGCCTCCACCTCTAGCTTGATCCGTGTCTGGAATTGTCTACACTTCTCTTTTTCTGTGCTTGGCAACAAATCTATCAACACATACACTTTCTTATGTTTTCAAGGCCTGGCATAGTCTAGACATGCACCAAACTGATGCACGTAGCAATTAGAATACTTCCTCTCCATGACTGTGTGAGGCAGTCTTACTACATGCTTCTTTCATTTCTAAGTCTGATTAGACTCCCTTTGCTCCACCATGCACACTGTCTTAGAATACTATTATTATACTAATAATCTATTTCTCCCCTCAGATCTGTTAATATTTGCCTTTTATATTTAAGTGTTCCAGTGTTGAGTACAGATGTTACAATTGTGATGCTCTTTGAATTAATTGACACTTTTATGGAATAGCTGTCTTCCTTTTTTACAGGTTTTGAATGAGGATCTATTTTATTTGATGTAAGCTTCAGATCCTGCTGCTGTCTTTTGATTTTCATTAACATGGAACACCTTTTTCCATCCCTTCACTTTCATTTCATGTGTGTCCTTAGAGTTAAAGTGAATCTGATAGGCAGTGTACAGGTGGACTTGTATTTGTTCTCCACTTAGCCACTGTGTGTTTTTTTTTTTGATTGGAGAATTTGATCCATCTATATGTAAAGTAATTATTGCTAGGTAAGAACTTACTATTGCCATTGTGCTGTTTTCTGTTTTGTAGCTCCTGTCTTCCTCATTTGGGGCTCTTCCATAGATTTGATTTTCTTCCTTTTTAAAAAAAAAAAATATATATATATATATATTTATTGGTTCTTTTTAGTCATACATGAAAGTAAATCCATTTTATATAAATTATACAATCATGGACTATATTTTATTCTAGTTAGAGTCCCATTTCATGTATGTTTGTGATGGTGGGATTCACCGTGATGTTTTTATACATGTACATGGGAAAGTTATGTCAGATTCTTTCCAGTGTCATTCTTTTGCCTATCCCCCTCCCTTTCCCTCCATTC